AAGTTCTTTTACTCCTTTTAGTCCAATTAATTCTCGGCCTTTGGCTTCATGGACAATCAGCTCGTAGTTTAATTGTAGCCTGCGTCACATCCGGGCAAACCACGGTTGTGACTTCAAGGTCTAATTGTTAAATATGGCAAAAAAACAAAAGCAAAAAACCTAACCTCTCATGACTGTTTGCTGTAATAATATCGTTGAAGAAGTTGTGGACTTTGAATCGAATACCATGACATCTGATAATTGAACGTTGTCAGCATTATCTACTGGATCTACCATCACAATCGGTGTATTAACACTATTTGGCACATTTTCTGAAACAGAACATCTCAAGATTAGCGCGACAGATATTGTTGAATAATCAATTAACTAATAATAATAAGGTGACATCATCAAAGCCGAAAGGAGAAATGGGTAAATAGTTGGTATAAAATTATATGTATAAGATGCAATTCAGTTCCCACACGGTTATTTTCAACGAGTTGGAATAACCCAACCAATTGAGTTAAACTWAATCTACCTTGTGGATAAAACTGAAAAAAAAAAGAAAAACGTGATAAAACTGAAATCCATCAGCCGCAACGCCACTCAAGCAACTTTCTAATCACTTCTAGTCCCTTTCGACCAAACAAAGTGAAAAACAACCCACGCTAAAAAAGGAAACCAAGGCCAATAGCTTAAAATACAGGAAGCCAAGCACTAGGTTAGCTTGTAGGGACTAAAAGACAACTAGGCCAGGCTTCACTCTGGTAGCCAGAGTCTAGCTTTCAATAAGTAAACCATTACATTGACTTATGTTGACTATTTCACCTGATGTTCTGGAAGATGATCTTTTTTGATGTCCATTGGTACTAAAATGTCCTTTGGTGTTATCCAATACAAAGTTGAAAAAGACGACCAACGCCCATTGTGCTCGATTCAATGGGTAGTCATTCAAAAACTCCATCTTCGTATATGACAGCCAAGTGGTTTTTAAGATGTTTTCTTGGTTGCTGTTCTTTACAACAGACAGCGCCAAACCCCGAGTCGAGTTGTGAATCATTTGACCCGTTGATAAGATAGTTGAAGGTCCTTCAAAATCTAAAAAAAGCATGAGGGGTATCGTTGGTTTTTAAATGGAATATTTGCCACAAATATGATTTTTATGTTTTCAATGCCTCTATTTATGGGTTTTATACGTATATTATATGTGTTTTTTGTTGTTGTTGTTGTTGTTGTTGTTGTTGTCATTGCCTATTCAGCATCAGACCTTAATGTTTCTTTAGTAAGCCCAGGTGGTATTCCCATATATGGGTTATCGAAATATATCAATCACGTGACAGGTCGGTAGTACAGTCTGGAAAATATGTGCTAATCGTGTCAATTTTGTACTTTTTGAATTATTATATAGTTCAGTGATTTTACATTCCTTATAAGAATATATTTCAACTTGTATTCATACCGCGCAATTCACTACTGTCCGATCTCATTCTGGCACAGCACACCTTAACCTGATTGCTCAAAAACGCCCTCCTCCTCCTCCCCTTGCCAGTCCCAGTCTCTAATTTATGGCCCTTTTTGTGTCCACACCTTTACTGGTCGGATATGATTTTAGTTGTTTAAATCATTTTAGTTAAATATTAAATGGGTTCTTATTTATCAGTAAACGTGGCTTTGAAAGGTATTTCACAGTTGCCCACTGTGACAATCGAAAGGAGTGATGGTCACTTATTTTGTCACGTGATTTAAAAAMTGCTATGCACGAATGCACCAAATTACGTAGTGATCCTATCGAGATCTAACAAAAAATCTCACTCACTCACAAKTTTACTCATAACTAGCTAGTTACTAAGATCTATTTACCTAATCAATCTAAACTTTTTAGGCAACCTTAACAACTTAACAACCAACCATCCAATCACTTAACAAAATAATCAACACTGCAATGCCCCAACATAACAAATTGAACGCGAACGAACCCGGCCACACCTCGAGCCTACCGACCTGCCGYGAAAAGTCTAGAAAGAATTGATAGCTCAGTTTTAATTTCTTCTTATTTCAATCGTGACAGACAAACATTCATCAATTTTGTGAAATAGTTGCTCTGGTAGTCTGCGCACAGCCGTGTTTAATTTCGGTCACGCGTCACGCGAGGACATGCTTCGATTGATGATAGAGTTCGTACAGTTAATTTAACTCAGATACAATTACTGCATATCGTGAACATGATATTTAGGTATGATCATGAAGAACCAGTACCTTTAAGGTAAACACACCCGTAAAGCTCCACTCTCATCTCTGCTTTATCTTTGGGGTAAATACGAAGTTTCCTTGCCACAATGGGAGGGACCAATTTTATCTTGCTTATTTTCTGACCAAGTTTTTTTTTGTGGTATGTGTGTAAAATCTGAAAATAAACAGTCTTTTGTAACTATGGATTACTATTATTATTGCCAATCTAATGATAACGGACTTTGATACAGAGGGAAACTGGGTATTACCCATAAACCTTTTTTACCAAACGGTCGCCATCTTGTGTTATATTGTTAGATATTATTTGATTAAGAATGGGTAGTATGGCTGGTTGACAATKTYATTACATTCCATATCACAGCATAAATTGTGGGGGGAAATCGAAACAATRTAAATATGCAAATTTTGAAACACAATTAAATAACGAGGGACCATTCTGTCTATATAAAGACGTCATAACTCAAGATGTCCATCGTTCTAGTAAGATCTAACCAGTCTTAATGGTTAGTRAGACTTACATATGAAAAAAGCGATCACAGTGAGAAATACCAAACTACGAAGTTGGGTTGCAGCCTTTCATAAATGCAAGATATTTCGTAGAAATGCTTAGGGTACATGCATGRAAGTTTAAGTTCTTGAAAAAACATATGGAGCTTTAATCAACCCAGCCCTTCTGGCTATTCAAATGATAGACTTGAACACAGTCTCCCACGGTATGAAATTAAGCGATACCTCAATCTCGGAAGATCCAAAGAAGTTACGAAAGACACCATCGTCGCCTGCATATCTGATTTTGAAGGTACTTGGAAAATGATCCGTCTGTTTATAACAACTTTGAATGCCAATCATAGAGATGATTTTTGTGACAAGAAGATCGATCTGCAAAGAATACAAACAGTGAACCAGTGTGTGTGAGAGCAGATCAGGGGATCCAGCATTTCATAAGGGAGGGGGGGGGTGCTTTTGTCAGTAAGATATCAACTAAAAACTAAGTATAACAGATGGAACAGTCTTGATAGTGGCAGACACATGTTGTGTTTGCTACTCGTTTTTTCGATAAAAGTACAACAGGAGTATAAACAGCAGAAAAAAACGTTTATACTGATATATAAAAAAATTACGGCGTCCAAAAAAGGGGGGTTCGTCCGCATCCAAAGTACCTCCCCTGGATCCGCTCCTTCAGATAATAGACTTCTGAACCCTTAACGTCACTACTTGATTTTCAATGCATTGTGGGATCAGTTTCTAAAGAAAACAAAAGAAATCCGCCATGTTCAGTCTGTCCCAAACATATCCTACAATGCATTGCGTATACGGTACATGACGTAAGCTTCGGAGGTCTATTGGCTAACGTCATTGGGTTCAAAAAAATCATCATCGAAGACCAAAAGGGTATATGGGAAGGCAAATAATTAAGTAAAATATTAAGCCTAGACTCCTGACTGAAAGTCGGGCTCCAAAAGATTACATCATCAAAGCTAAGACCGAAAGGAAGCTTGGGAAAGCAAATATTATGAGTATAACAGAGTGCAAAGTGCAAAGATTGTCTGCACTGAATCATAAAATTGCTTTCCACACGAGTAATGCTGAAATGATAATGTTAATTCAATAAGGCGTAATGCTGTTTTAGTTCCTTATGAGCTGCCTGAATAATCATGGTTTTCTCATAGTTGATTTAAGAAATGTCAAAAATCTAAATATACAAGCGCCAATATAGCTGAATCATGGGGAAGCAATTAGCCAATCATTGTGAAGCTCCTCTTCTTAATAATATGATTCCGATAAGACCCTTAATTTTAATCCTCAATTGGTAATGTGAATGAGCTCATAGAATCTACTCGTAGCATTTTCATCTCTTGAGATGTTTTGCTAAATAACAAGAAAGGAAATTTGAGTGCTCTGATAAGGAGATATAGTTGCATCAGAATCCTTCTTACTGGGAATTTTAATACCCATTTTCCCGCTCCACAGTTGAATTCTAAGAAACAAAAGTTATTTTTCCGACTGGATTTCAATTGGGTATGGTAAAGAACATGGCAACGGGTTGACCGATTAGGTCTATTTACTTTCTTCATTGTCGAAAACAGTTACCTGTAAGTAGTTTCCATCGTCTGCTTTCCAACATCCCTTATCACCAAGTTTTGTATTCGCTCGAGCGTAAATGGGTAAGTGCTTGTTATCGTCGTTATTGTCGCTAGAGATTTGTGAGTTTTGAATCAACKTACTTTGCATTCCTAGGGCAGCGTTACATTCTAAAAACAGTAACATCAAAACGTTAGGTTGTTCATAGTAAGGTCATTATTGACCATTCCCAAATTCAAAAAGGGGCTGGTGACTAGTCACAAACTCGATTCATTTTCCAGCAATCAAGAAATGGATCCCACACATAGACAGAGCATAATAAAATCAGCATATATGCTGTTTAGCTCATTGGGATGAATAGTTATAGAGTAGTAAGCGTCTAAAACTCTAAAAAAAAATTAACAAAGAATGTACGGAGCTTTAAGAGCGTCCACAGGACTTATACATTCTCTCTTATCAAATTTAAAAAAACAAAATTCAAAACAAATTTCTATTCGACGAGTATTCAACCAAATWCTGGGCTCAACTCGACAAGAACACTAATGTAGTATGGTCTTTTATGTGATGTGGTTCAGTTCTCTAGAAGTAGGATAATTTCACACTCGTTTCAAGTCTCGTTTTGAATTTAGGAAAAGCCAATTGCATGCAGAGCCAATAGAGTGGGAAATACATAGTGTCTTATAAATAAAAAAAAGTATGATATSGTAGTGATTACAAGTTTGGTTCTCTTTGCCCAAATCTATACTAAGCCAACATTTGAAGACAAAATATCCTCTTCCGCATCACTCCCCTAGCCTGATTTGTTCCGACAACAGTAAGGGCACTACCCCCTCYCCCTGCTCCTCCATATTTGAAGGATTTTTGTCTCCACCAATCAAACTATTTAACCAAATTAAAAAAGCGAGGTTAAATTCAGCGAAAGATAGTTGAAGGTATTGCCCATTGCATCAATTACCTTGTTGACAGCCATACAACTCTACAGAAAATACACAACTAGGCGATGTTAACTGGAATTTAACTATTCTGGTCAGCAAGGCTGTTTTTAATACATAGGTAGTTAGAACATTGGACATTGGCGTAAAAGTCTACAAGAGAAAAATTACATTAAAACATTTCAAAAATTAATTGTGAGGTTTGTGGCATTGTTTTCTGTTTTTCGTTTTTTCTGTTTTGTTTTTGTTTGTTTTTCTGCGTTTTTACRAAGAGGTGATACGCTATACCCTGCGAACAGAGTGTTATTTACCTTACCTCAGTAAAAAATTCGCGAAGGAAATAACACTCTGCCGAAACCTTGTAATTTCTTTGATCTACCGATAGCCAAAGAGTTGGGGATAGTCAAGACCGGTTTTTCCTCAGTCAAACTGGTTTTTCTGCGCGCGTTTAAGTTAAATKAATTCGCGAATTTGCTATTGCTGGATCCTCAATCACTTTTTTTAATGATGTGATTAATATAAGAACATCCTGACCCCTGAACATATATTTTCATGACCTACCTTTGTTGTACCTGCTGTTTCGTTATATGTTTCTTCCTGAGAAACACCATTCAAATAAACCAAAGTAAAGCTGCATTTTGCAATTACAGCAAATCCAGAAATCACTTGCTTGGTGCCTAGATCAATCTGCAAGTAAGTGCCTGGAATTGCTCCACCACCTGATAATCGAGCGTCTTGAGGGTTGAAGTTCTCTGAACCAGTCATGTTAGAATCCAGAAATTCATGTAAATGGAAACATTCTAGAAGAAAAGAAAAGCGAGACCAAACTTACAGAAAGCACATCTCCACTACTAAAACACACAATCAGCACAACAACGTTAACAACACGACAACATACCCTTCTGCACAACATAACTACCACCACCCAAACACCTTTGCAACAACATAACCACCACCAAAGCAACATAAATACCACCACCAAAACAACATAACCATMATCACATCATACCCAGCACCACAATATAACAAACACCACAACATAACCACCAACACAGCCACTCTTTCTATATAACGACCAACTCATGACAAGCACCACCTCAACACGACTGCCACCACACTCTATCGCCACCTCAAAACAGCMACCAACTCAACATCACCACCATACAAAACCACCACCTCAAACCAAACGCCAACTACCACACGACTACTACATCTACTGCTACCTTTATGCAACCCTAACCTGAACACAATCACTAACTTACCCATGTAGAACACTTCCATTTGTGTGAGACCAAACTTAGAACTCCCAGCCAGTATAGTTTTTGCTTCATCATCGTTGACTGTGGCTTTCTCATATTTTTGCCCCAGTTCACTTGAGCAAGACCCTTCTATATGTGGATTATTTCCTATAAAGAGGTCATTGGTTCCAAAGCAGGGACCATAGTCTTGATTGGAATAAATGGCATGTCTCTTTTCACTCGATTTGACTTTAAATSTTGAGGAGTTGGTTCCGTCTGCACTCTTGATGGAGAAGAGAAACGCATTATCAGCGTACTTGTCTTCATCTGGAAGTCCTTCAACGTTGGGAAAAGAAGAAACGTTTTTTTTTTCAAAACCGCATTCATTATATATGTAAGTGAAATAGAGGACATAACATGTGCGCGCGGAGATAAGGATTTTATCTCCGAGTGTTGAAAAGATCTCTCACGTATAAGCGTAGCGAATTTTAACATGAGAAGATAAAGTTCGTATCTCCAAGCGACCGTGTAATATTCTGCTTTTCATATAATTATATATGAAAGCAAATTATGTTTTTTACTTCCAATACATAGAGAAAGCACGAAGTGTTATTTTTAGTAGTGAAATAACAACTTTTCGAAAGAGGGAAATATAGGTATTTCATAGAGAATTATATGATAATTAATTAATTTAATTAATTAGTGCATAATAATAATACCAACAAACGATAAAATCATGATAAAAAAAACTTTTAAACTTTTAAAAACATCAAATTTACATTATTTTGGACTGACTTACATAGTATTTACATCAAAGTTACAATCTTTTAAAGTGCGCGATTTTTTTCAGTGAACTATGTATGCTTTTAATAACTATTAATAGAGTTCGCGATTATTACCCCAAGAAGCACTTGTGAATCCACCGAAAATCGCATCATCTCGAACCTTGAATAGGGAGATAGTTGGCCCTCTGCTATCGCAGTTTCTATGAAAGTTTTCCATATCCCATCCATGCTCTTTAGAGTTGTAGCACTTGATCCATTTGAAATCTTTCGGAGTGACCTCCCCCACCCATTGGGTAATCGTTTCATGATATTGGCTGACGTCCCCAAGAATGTCAGATATAAAACCTATGGTAAAAGGTGTTATTATGAATGAGTAGCGATCACGATCAGAAGAGTATGATCCATTTAATTACGATGGAATGCTGAGTGTTAGTAAAACTGGCACATTTACATAGAGCAGAGTCTCTTGAACCATGAAATAGAAACTAAATACTTAGTAACTAATAGGCACTATTTAGACACTATCACTGAACCAGAACAGTACAAAGAGATTACTTTGATTGTTAAAGTGGTCTCTTGGGTATTGCTTATTGGATCAAATAAACTGTTCTGGTTCAGTGCTAACGACTATTAGGAACTAATAGTCCCTATTAGTTAGTACTTTTTAGTTCTTATTTCATGGTTCATGTGACTCTGCTCTATTTGCATACTAGTAAGATTTGATGTCAAAGTTCTTTATGCAAAAATGTGTTGCACAAAAAGGCTTTGGACATACAACTTAAAAAGACAGGTGGAGAAGAAGATATAAGCGAAACCATACACTGTATCAACCGGTTTCCATTAGCAAAATGAACGTAAAATGGCCATACATTTTCATTCCGTTTATACAAAAATTAAGTTTTATTTTAAACGTTTGTCTTTAAAAAGAGTTTTTATAGTGAGTTTATGGTGAGTTTTTGTGACAGCGGATCGCGACTTTCACCATTTTAGCACCTTTTCTTTGTAAATCACTTCGCTTCAGTCACAACAAGGCTTGACATTTGAATTTGGCGCTATGACGATGAAGTCAGTCAACGAGCCTCATTACGGCAGTTGCAAGACGAGACTAACGCTAAATAATACTGAAAAGTAATGTGGATGATTGTTGTACAGTGAATATACCTCCATAGCGCATCCATAATGAAAACCCCACTTGTTTGGAACAATGATCTGAATTTAGTTTCCTTAAGCATTTAATGTCATAAATTTTAGGCCCGATGTAGTTGTGTGGTTCTGTGCTTATGACATCTGCATTGGGCTGGTTGTGAAAAGCATTCCATTTTCCGTTATCAAACAGAATATTAGCCTTGTGGACAACATCCTCGGTGACAATACGTTTCACAGTTTGGAAGCTATCTGTTTAACAWATTTAAGGTTATACTTTAGCGTTGATAGTAGGTATACAATCCATGTTATACGAAATCCGATAAGAGAAACTGATTCCTTTCTGCAGTTGTCGCGTCCAAGTTGTCGCTTCCATTGTTAACGCTAGTTTTACGTGCGCGAGGAAATTTCGACAATTTGGAAGGAARTCTGGAGAAAGAAATCTGTTCACCTTATTGGCTTCCGTAGCTATAGCATCAAAACATGAATACTGTATAAAGAAATTTTATGAAGTATTTCTGCAAATACTTCATAGTGGAGTACAAGGTGTTCAAATTCTAAGCGACTCCTTGTGACAATCATCCTCGGGAACCCAGGAGTAATCTTCTGTAGAACAAACGACAGAAGATCATGCTTAGGTTCCCGAGGATGCGTGACAATATGTCGGACCCTATCTTTGCTTCGAGGAAAAACTGAAGCCGTGTTCACATCTACGGATTGCGTCCACACTTGTGGGCCTGTATGGGGCAAAAMGGCCATTAAAAGAGCGGTGCTCTAAAACGCTCATGTGCAATACTTCACCAAGCAATTTTTTTTTTTCAGTAGGGAGATACCGGAAATGACAAGGCATTATTGGACCACGTGACTATTCTAACCAATCATTTTAACCCGTCAGAAATGTGTTATTATAAGCCATTTTAGGCATTTTGCGTTCGCACGTTTATCTAGTTCATTTTAGAAAGAAAACTGAAGCAATCGTTTTTAAATTTAATCTTAGTTTTTTSATCACGTGCAATTACAAGAAAGAGTTGTAATCACTCACAATCGTAGTGAAACCCTCCATCAAAACTTGTGTAAACATTGGAGAACAACGGCGATYGGAAATCCCGCCTAGAATCCTCGACAAATTCCTTATGCAATATTTTCTGCAGAGTTGCTTGAAAAGGTCTAATATCTTTGGTAAAAGGCAAAACCTTGAGGCAAACATTGTTTTTAAAAAAGGAAATGTCATCATATTTAAGTAATGCCCCGAGTAAGAACCAGGGAAGCAAACGGCAAAGGAATGCAAGAAGGTGCTAATYGTGCATTGTATAATCCATCCATCCCATTGGTTAAAACATGAAAATCTGCTATAATTTCAYAAGTTAGCGAATTTTCTAATATTTTATTTAATGTCTGTTTTCGCTTTCATGAAAGCTTTCTTTAGCTTCAATATTAAGGCAATTTTATGTGGGGAACATAGCAAATTAGGAGCAACTTTTGGCTATTGTTTTGAGTGCTTATTATTGGATAAGAGCTTTTAATACAAAAGAAACTTTGTTTCAAAATAGAGTTTATCCACATTTTATTTCAAAAATATGTTACCCATAGGTTGATATATAATCAGTGTGAAAACCAAGACATTCGTACGTGGGAATATTGGAATGCCGCAGAACAATAGAGARATCCCTAGTTCTTAAGCGCATTGTTACTTAAACATTTAATGATCGGTTTTGAGATAAAATGTTGCAAAACATAGAAATGAATTCTTTTTAAATAATTCCTTTTTTAAAACAGAAACACAAGTAAGTCCAATTTTTAGAAGTTATCTAACATTTTTCGTGGACTATATGAAATCGAAAATAATGGCTAACATTGATAAAACGTGTTTTKAAAAAAGTTATTCCAAAACTAAGTTCAAGTTAAGAAAAGTGACTTTTGAAACTGACCTTTCTTTCCTCAATTATTTCAGGCATCTACAAGTAGTACAATTATTAAAATTGATTCAAAYTTTCACTTACTTGCTGGAGCAGATTGCAAAGTTAAAAACAAAACCAGCCAGCTCTATGAAAACAAACACATAACATATCTATTATAAAAAGTTTCTCAATAACAAAAAAATATGGATTAACTGCATTAATTTATACCTTACCTTGAGGTCAAAATAAGTCATTATGCCAAGCAAGAACCTAGCAAAGTTCAGCTACTTTAGACAATAAGCGTGAATCCCAGACTTTAGCAAACATGCACTAGGAGTCAATTTACCACTAGTGCACTTTGGTAACATTGAAACTTCTCGTCTAAAGGAACCAGGTGCTTCTTCCGTAGCCTTAGGAACACAGACGTCCCATCTCATTGAAATAATACCAGGCGTTGTATAGTTATAAATATATCATGAATTATGCTTTGTTCCATTTGTTCCAGAATATGGTAGATGTAGTCTTAAATTCGACAGCATTCGCAATTCAACGCATTTGATTAAATTTTAAAAAAGAAAGACAAGTACGTAAAAAAAGGACGCTTACTCTATTCCAGTCTTGGCCTTCCCTTCAACCCGCTCCACAAGTTGCAGAAAAAGAGTCCAGTAAAGCTTGCATGCGCATGTGATCTTCGTAACCTCGCGATCACTACATTGATGTGGTAATCGCGAGGTTAGGATTTTGGTGAAATTTAATAGAAAGACCGATGTATTTTCATTTGCATCCGTGTTTATTAGCCGTTTATGTACTAGGAAACAGCACGTTTCTTTACCCCTTACAATTTGAATCGTTCTGAATTATTAGGCCCTGCATGTTTACATGAGCCTGGGTAGTACATACAAAGCCGTTTGTTTTCTTTTCCTCAAAGTTCAATATATAACTTAGTATTTCCAAGACATTAATATTTAATATTTTTAATTCACAAGTTTATATTATGATTCTTAAATATCTAGTTACAAAGGGAACCCTACCTGAAGTGAAAAACGACACTTAAGACTTCATTATCTATAAGTCCAATCAAGATCATTCTGGAATTAATTCATTTTATCATATTTTTTAATATTTTTTGACGCCAAATTTTTTTGTGAAAGTGCAATCTCTCACAGAAAATAACTCTGATATGTTAGTCTCTATTCATTTTATTTTTAATGCAAGCCGAAGAACGTCTGTACACCACTAAAMGATTCCACCAAGCACTTGTGATCTGACATGATATCACGATGTTTCCATTTCTGGTAATCTTTTGAGGAGCTTCTCAATCAARGAATCTTTCGCCTGATATGAGATCACATTATTACAAGTAGCCCGAGTTTTAAGTCAGGCGTTGCTAGCCGCCACACACTCTTAATGTAGGTGGGACTGAAGAGAGCCGTATAATTATTTTCCCTCTTTCTCAAGATGCAAATACTTCAAGAAATGTATACAATGATGATCAAGCAATCTTTTACTTTACGAAATAACAATATTAACACCCTGAGAATCAMGTCGTAAGGAAAAAGCAGCCTACGTTTGTAGCCGGGCGTTCCCAGCCGCTACACAAGCTAAGGTAGAGAGGGGGTCTGAAGAGAAGGTTCTATTTTCCCCCTTTCAAGACACAAATATTTTAATAATTATAAGTAATAGCATGGCTCTGAGGGAGATTAGGGATTAAATGTCCCCGAAGCCGAGGG